GAAAAATAATAAAGTTCTTAAATATGTTCATATTTGCTTTAGAGAGCAAGACTTTTGACACATTGCTCAATAGCTGAAGCTGTCCCTTAGGCTGAAAAAAGTTGTACACCCATGAATTAAAGATACCAAGGAAGGAAGTTGCTTTTCTTAGAGCAGCGTACATAATCACTTTTGATGGAACAAACTTTGTTAGCTACAAAATGTAAAAAAAATGAGCAGACCAAATTAAGAAGAGCTGTGTCTCTTTATGTAAAAGTGTTCACTGTTTTATTAAGGCCTGAAAAGAACAGGAAGAAGTTGAGACAAGGAAATATCATACCAGTACTTCAATTTAAATTATTTCAGTCTGTTCTCTTTTGTAAGACATCAGATTTGATTTACAGTTTCTGGACTGTATAAAATCCCATTATATTCTAATTTGGCAATTCTAGCTTAATTTGTGTTATCAACTTTTGAAACAAACCAGTATTATACACGATGGTCTTAAATATAAGCCAAGGTCCTGGCACCAAAGTCAGCTAGTGACAAGAAGAATGAGGAGGAAATTGAGAATTACTCAGTACAGATATTCATTCCTGATTTATAACATCCACGGTCCATTTGCATAATTGAAGTTACTGAGCTGTTTGGATTTATTCACATTTTCATGGGAAGGCACAGGAGAAAAAGTTGCTCAAAAAACTAAGACTACTTCGAAGAAGTTTAACAATAAACAATGGTTAGCTATGAAACCAATAAATATATTTGGCCTCTTGAAACTGAGGCCATGCTATGATTTAAGGTGTGGAAGGCAAGTTTTTAATGGCCAAGATCTTCCTATTTCTTTTAGCAACCACACAAGGAAGTGATTTAAGGAAACTACTTGCGAGAACTAGGTAGGAATTTTAAGCCCCTATTTATTTCTTGCCATTGTTAGACAGAAGTAGAAAGTATTCATTAGTGAGCTAAGTACATTAAAATTATTGTATAATTATTAATTTACCACCCAAAGTAAGTGGAAAACAAAGTTGTTCATAACTGGAGCTCTAGGTTATGTTTTATCCAAGGCTATTAGGGCCTAAAATTTATATCAATTATAAATTGTAATAAGAAAGTTGCCTTATCTGTGAATTTTTGCATAGAACCAATGCCATCAAAGGGAGTGAAACTTATTTTGTGCAAACATATTTAGAAAAGAAAGCATCAACTATTGTTAAGGAAAAAGAGGATTTTCAAATAAGAGGCTCATTGTGTTCTGTGTCCAACAGTACAAAGGAGTTGCCTTTAAGGCAAAAGCTGAAATAAAGGGAGGGAAATGAACTTAAAGCTTTTGCAGGAGAGGTAGATTATGTGAGACAGTGTAAAGATCAAAGAAGCATCAAGATTGTGAGCTCTAAAGGAAGAGTCTGGAATTTGCAATAAAAGAGTAAATGTGTAAAGGATAAGGAAGAAAATGTTGAGAGGGAAATAGAAAGGATATCCGTGGCTTTATTTTCATTAAGTAATAAGAAAACATTTGTGGATATACTTGTAGAATATTGGAAGGTAAATAAAGAAGTGATTTTTTGGCTAAATCATCAGCTTGAAACTAAGTTAAGTTTTTGAATTTTGAATAGGAACTGGAAAGTAAATATGTATATATCAAGAATACTTTACAGAGGATTACTTAATGTAAATTAGAGTGTAATCTTATATACACTGGTCCTCAGAATCAACTGCCATGAATTCAATGAGAGTATGTCTGGGCAAACATAATTTTCACTACTCTGGAAATTAGAAAATGTGGTCTTGGTTTAATCAAACAGAGAAAAATCACAGCTTTGAGCACTGGCTTAGTTTTTTCTTTTCTGTTTAACCGATGACATATTTTTTGCCTGATTGCCTACTTTTTTTGATTATATGTAACCCAGTTCACAAATATTCAAGGTTATTTTTGCAAATTGAATGGAATCTTCCTAAATTAATTTCAACTTGTTGGAAACATTTGCAGCAGTTATATGAGAGAAGAGCAGACAATAGACAGTCTTTGGAATCAAAATGTGGTTTTCTTGGATTTGATTTATTGTAATTTTTAAGGTCAGCTATGATGAACCATGGTTTGTGTGTTAATATAAACAAACCACTATTTCTAGAAAATATGGGTTTGTTTTAAACTATTGTCCAATTTACTTTGACTCAAATGAGGATAAATCTGCTCTGCTAGTTCGGGAACTTTCAGAAAAGAAATAATTATAGAATTCAACTGTAGTTCCCAGTATTTCTGCTCAACCAAAGTTAGAATGACTGCTGCCCAGCTTCTTATGCAATGAAGAAGAGTTTAACTTCTTCTCCAATGCCTCTCCCCAGGGAACACAATATTATTTGCTTATGACTATTTACACTAGTATATAAAGTAAGAATTCTTATAGCTTTGTTATTTTTCAAAAAGATACCAAGATAAGAAATAAAGAAACAGAAATGGAAAATTATAAAGGGGGGAAGTCTTGGAAGGGGGTAAGAATAAAAGTGCAGGGAAAAAAGTAAGAAAAATAGGAAAAGAATGATTTCCAACTTTCTTTGATAGAGATAAAGATATAAGAGTACATCGAACTCTTAAACTAAGGTTAACATTTGTCTTCATTATTTTGATAAGCTCATATAATTCTAATCATCAAATCCGCAAACCAGTTTTTCGTTGTTGTTTTTTTGCAAAAGTCCAATAATGGTTTCTACGTAGAATTAAATTTGCCACTTTTCTGTCATCAAATCAATCATGTCTGCCAATTCCACCATCTTCACCATCCATTCTCCCATTTTAGAAATTTGTACGTCCTTCTGCCTTTGAACATACAGATGCCTTGAGTGTGTGTGCATGTGCGTGTGTGTGTGTGAGAGAGAGAGACAGGCAGACAGACAGACAGATGGACAGACAGACTGTCAGACAGACAGACATAAACAGAGAGAGAGAGAGAGAATGAGAATGAGAATGAATTATTGGCTTCAAAATACATCTCTAAAATTGGATTTGACTCATCATGCATTTTAAATGATGGCATAAATGTCCCACCTTTCGCTGAACGAATTTCTATTACAGCCTTTATCTGTAGAGTTCCATTATTTTTTGTAGATTCTATTTCATGATTTAGCTTGCCTTGAAGCACTGATATATATAAATGTTATTAATATCACATCAGAAAATATTTTATATAAAATCTTGCATTTTGTACATTCCTTTTTGATTGGGATGGTATCTTTATAAAATAGAGTTAATGTTCTTGATTGTAAACAGATATTAATAAGGATTTCTGTTTTACTATGAAGAAAGGAAATCTAATCTTAAGTATTAGAGTAAAAAATACAATTGATACCAGGTTAAGTATTTTATCTAGAAATTTTTTTGAAAGTGGATGGGTATAACTTTAAATGAAGATTATGTAAACATTTAAAGGGACCATTTTAAAGAGCTTAAGATCAGTGACTGCATGGCAGAACATCTTTCCAGAATCCATTCCAAAGCTATGTGCAGCCAAAGTTTCTTGTGCTTTACATAGTAAGAAACTCATTCTGTAATCTCATATTGAAGCATGTAGCTAACTCAACCTTTAGCAGGGTACTGATGGTGATAAATTGTAAAATTTTGAAGATATGCTTTTCTTATTATCTGTCACATCATAAATGGTAAAATCGGTCTCTTTCTGCTTTGCACAATTCTGCAGAACTATTAGTGACACTCAGGACAGAACTATCCCTTCCAAATGAAATGTATTTCATATACCGTCCATGGCTAATTAAAGCAGGATAAAATGTGAATTAAAATATAAAAGGGAGATGTGGCACAAGGGAGAGATAAAAACCTGGTTGTAAGACATATACAAAAACAGGAAAATGTCAAAAGCCCAAAACCACAGAGTTCAGCTAAAGTTCGTACAGAGACACATAGTCAATACCTATGGCACAAGACAAAAGGAGAAGTAAGATAATATCTACTTATAAGGCTTCTTTCCTCAAGATAACCAATAAGAAATAAGTTCAGTGTTTCCGTATTACGCTGCTTTTGAGAATGTATAAGAATGCGTGCTTCGATGATAAGGGTTGTTCAGAACTTGTATACTAGCCTTTGACTAGTTTTCTGAACCTAGCTGCCAATAAACTTCTTCTTGATCCCGAGACGTCTTAAGTCTTGTTATTTTCTACAACATAATAATAATAATAATAATAATAATAATAATAATAATAATATATGACTAAGTCACAATATGACTGAGCCTATAGAGCATAAAACATAAACTTTTTCTATAAATACAGTGGCTGTGCTCATATATTGCTGTTAGCCAAATACAAGGAAATGAGTTGATAGTTTATCTAAGTATGTGGATCTAAGTATTCTTACCTATGGAAACTCACTCAAGTTTATGACATAGGGTTGTTGTCAATGAAAAAAGAGCATGGGTGTCAAACTCGTGGTGCCATGTTGCCATCACATAATGTTTTGCAACATTTTTTTTCTCTTTGTGAAGCTGGGGATAATGCGCATAATGCATTTGGCTCATGGGCCACCAGTTTGATACCCGCGTACCTAGAGGAAAGACTATAATAAAATTGACTAAAAGAAAATTAGTTCAGGGAAATATGAGCAACAGAGAATTGCAAATTCAGTCCTGGCCTATCTGCTTTGAAAAGGATAGCATCAAATATACCTGGATGGCGGACTCAGTTTTCATTAACACTTTTAAACTTCTTTCTTTTTATGAAGCTTCCCAATCTGTTGTGCTTCCAGTGGCTTAGATGAGACCTTCAATAATCCCAAAACAGCATATCCATTCTGTGTGAGAATTATAGGATTTTGAAAAGCTGCTTTATATATTGCTAAATCTTTTTAGTCAGTTTTAATACTAAAAAAATAAAATAAAAAATGAGGAAAACTAATGTTAAAAAGCCTTAAGATGGAAGCAGCTTTTGAGAGCTGGATCATGTTCTGAAGTAACTGATTCTTTGCTCTAATTTCCTTTATTAATTTTATCTTTTGGTGTTGTTCCTTGCAGAGAGTGAATCTGTCCTTCGATTTTCCATTTTATGGCCATTTCCTACGTGAAATTACTGTTGCAACTGGGGGTAAGTGGCTTCCTTAGCGTTCACTTTGCATAATCTGACAAAAATCTGACATTTCAAATCAAGTAGATTTTTTTTCATATTTTAAGGAAATGTGAGTTCATTCAAACACAGTCTATCTTTTATGCAAACATGTCCCCGCCCCTCTCTCCAACACACACACACACACACACACACACACTTACACCTAATCATTTTGAATAAGTTTTTTTTTCTTTGCCTGAATAGTCAAATATGTCCTTGGAAAGAGAAGGTGGTTTTTTTTTTATTAGTAGGACTCCAAAAATATACAATGCTTTGGCTTGCACAGAGGCATTTCCCTTGCCTCTTTCTGCAGGGCTTTAAAGCAGTTACATGTTTTCCAAGTATTGCAGGGCAGCTCTGGGGAAGAATATGCTTGAAAAAGTCACATTCCCTCATAGATGACTGAGATGACATCATGTAAGAATAATCTTAAGAGATAGGAGGGAAGAGCTGCAACTTACACAATGGTCTCATAAATGAAATCTTAATACAAAGGAGGAATGGGGTAGAGAATTGACCCTCCCTAGTTCTCCTAAATGTAAAGGCAGGGGAGGAGGAAGCAAGTGCTTTTGGATTTGCAAGATTCTGTTACTGTAACTGTACAATAAAATTAGTGCTAATGTTCTTGGATTTGGTTTCCTAGTTTGGATTACTTTGCTGGCACATCAACAACGAATATAGCTGTACCCTATTTTTATCTCATTCTTTGCCAAATTCACACCATTCAATGGGATTGCTACTAGAATAAGATTTCTATAGCTGGAAATTGTCCGATTCTGAACATTTAAATAAAACGAGATTAACTTAATAAAGTTTAGTTCTGTTTTCATCAGCTCTGTATTTCTCTGTTCGTTATAATTTTTTTTTACTAGCTATAAAAAACATTGACCCTTAATTAATGAAAAAGGAGGGGGAAAGAGCCAACACTAATTGCTGGCTCATTTGAGCAATTAGTGTATCCTTGTCCTCAATTCTTATTTTGCCAAGGTTATTTGACTCCCAGGTCTGACGAAAATCAGTATGTACTGCCATTATTGATGTAATTAATTGTTCTAGAGGTGCATATATCATACGGGATTCCTATGAATGCTAATTCTGAAAACTGGGAAACTACTAAAGGCCTAAAAGTTTTCTAATAATAAGAAAGGCTATTAACATAAAATTTCAGATTCTGACTTCGGGTGAAATAAGCACCAAGGTTTCTTTGTTTTAACATCCATGCTGAGGGGTTTGAACTGTACACATATGTTATGTTGGCTGAAGATTCCCCTGACCTTTTCCAATATGCTTGCAACGTACATCTCAAAAAAGACCCTACAGGAGCTCCTCTGTAATAGACAATCGAGTAATAGAGAACAATAAATGAAGCAATGTTGTCGTTCCGTACGTTGCAGGCATATCGGAAAAGCTCAGGAGAATCTTCAGCCAACATAACACACGTGCACACTTCAAACCCAAAAATACACTTAGGCAGAAGCTTGTCCACCTCAAGGATCAAACACCCAGACAGAAACTGAACAATATGGTATATGCAATACAATGCAGTGAGCCATGTGCAGATCTGTATATTGGGGAAACAAAACAACCAGTTCATAAACACATGGCACAACATTGGAGACCAAACACATCAGGTCTACATTCAGCAGTCCAACTGCATTTAATAGACACAGGACAACAAAGTTCATATTTTGGACAGAGAGGATCGCTGATTTGAAAGAGGGGTTAAAGAGATCATCTATATCAAAATTGAACACCCCTCTCACAACAGAGTGGGAGAGATATGACAACATCTATCTCCAATCTACAACACAGTCCTTTCAATAGGTCCAAGAAGGCTCCACACTAATTTGCACCACTCAGGTGTCCCTGATGACACAGATAACCTTAATAACCCGCTAAAAAGAATGCAAATGACCAGTTGTCTTCAAGGAGTATAAATCCTTCCATTCCTCACCATTCAGAGCTTAAGTAGCTTCTTGAATGAGAAGTGAAATAAAGAAAAACCAGAAAATCCAGTTGCCTCTTCAAAAAAAGCACCTTTGGGACAACCATGACCTGGATGACTGAGAATCTCCATAGACATTCAGTTCAGTAATCTTACCTGCCTAGGCCCTTATTCAGATCTTTAAAAAAAATAAAGGGCCTGCCATATATTTCAAACTTAGAGTATGTGCACATTAGTCCAAATATAGTCCATTCTGTAACAGTAAAAGCAAAGCAGAATTATTACATTTATTTTTGTTTTTACCTAATTGCCAATCAAATGCACACATTGCATTTGTTTTTCCTAAAATGGACTGGTCTGCATAAAATATCCTCTAATTGGCACATGGATTTTTGGGGGTACATAACTTCAAATAAACATATTTTACAGATTTTGTACTGTTTCAAATTGGCAACACTGTATTCCATGAGCATACATTTCTGTACTGATAGAATCTGCTAAGACAGACGTGAGAACACTTTCCATGAAAAGACATCTCTGATGAATTTCTTTTGCATCCTTATCTGCTGTATTCCAATAACATGTTCCAAAACCCTATCAGTATGATAGTGTGAAAAAAGGGCTGCTTCCCTCTACTGGTTTTATTTAAAAGACAGGGACAAGAAGTGTATTCTACTAATGCAAGTCAATAGAGCCATTTATTTATTTATTTATTGGTCCTAGAGTATTGAGAGCCTGTAGCAAGAAATCACTGTGTGAGTTAAGCTAACTTTTTGAAGCTATGATCTATTTTTATAAAAGACCATTTAAAGCATAGACTTGAAGTTGCTTTTTGGAGCTACTCAATCCCTACTGTGGCCTCAATAGACACTTTGCTTTGACATATGCTAGTACCTGCCAAATAACTCTCACAAGTGCCAGACAGTATGAAGAGAGGATGCAGATCAAAGCAAAGTTGTATCTTACTTGTTTCCAATATAATACCCCTCCTCTGAACTACTTCGTGGATAACCTCATGTGACATTAAAATTTGCCCCATTGGATTTTGTTGGAAATTAAAATTATTTCATTGACTGGGTTCTTTGATAGTAACATTAGAATTTATTTATTATTTTTGTATAGAGGAAAAAATATATAAATGGATAAAATTTAGCAACATTGTCCCCTGCAAACTATAAATACTGTCATGTGAAGACTGTTTTACATATCTATTCCTACATGAATTATGCAATAAAACCTAATTGTTCAATTGCAGCTCCAACTGGGAACTTCTCATAATTATAACCAACATGCTGTGTTGATAGTGCTCTGTGAGGGCTTTTTTAAGATCCGATTATATCTATGAAGTACGGAGAACTATTATCTTATGAAACATAGTTTTAAAATCATAATTCTTTTAAAACAATATTAATTCCAATTATTTAAATAAATATATATTGACTAGTATTAATATTCCAATCCAGTCAATCATTGTTCTGATAAAACAAATGATAGTTTATATCATTTCATAAAATCACAAAAATATAGTAATCATTATAGGATAAACAGAAAAAAATTAACTCAGGAGGTATGGTTTTTGACACTGTAGACGGGATAAATTAGTAAGAATCCTTAATGTCACTTCAGACAAAGAGTTAAATTTACAATTGTACTTGTAACTTCTGTAAAGCAGTTTGAAAGCCCTTTCTTTATATCTTGTTTCTTTCGTTTCTACTTGTTATCTTTTTTGTTCTTTTTAAACTTTAGCTTTCTCTTTTATTTCTTTTTTCTTTTTTATTCTGTTTTAAGTTTTATGAATTTTTACTCTTCTTTTTTAAGCTTTCAATAAAATTATATTTTAAAAAAGGAATCATTGTAGAATGACCTATTGTAGATCCAAAAAAAGTCTACTATTACCTTTACCTTCAAAATGTTTCTGCAGATATTCAGCTTAAAATTGTTGTTCTATAATTTAAGGCCACTACATCTAAACTTTACTTCCAAGGTGAACCTCTTTGAATATGAGATCTTTCCTATCTACAGTTGTCCTATACTAAATTTGGAGTTTCCATCCTTTCAACCAATTTCTCATAAAGTGTATTTTAGCCTGTAAATTATGTCCCTTGTCTTCCTTTCAATCTACTCCACTTTGTCTATTTCTATCTAAGACTGCTGTCTCAGATCTTCAAATAATCTCCTGTTCAAATAAAAATTTAAACTAGGGGGATTCACTGAAATACTTTGATTTATGTGAAAACACAGAAACAGGCTCCCCGGGCAAATACCTTCTGACTAATTTCTTTTTCTAAAATGCTGCATAATAGCAGGAGGAATTACATGCAGAATTTCCCTGTATCATAAGATGAGCTCTAACATATTAAGTGGTAGTTGCCATTAGTCCAACCAATATCCTTCTCATCCTTGTAAAATAGCTCTTAAATAATACTATCAGTTTGGATGGCTGATAAATATGAAAGAGATTTTGAGATGCTTTCATCCTTCATTTCTGTGTTCCATGCACTCAGAAGTTTCCGTAGTAACACAGTTGAAAATTGACATGAGTTGTGATCTTGCTTGCTAGGAAAAGATTAAAGACAACAACTTGCAGTTGTCAACATTTGGAAGATAGTGAAGATGTAATGCAGAAGGCCATTGAATTCAAACTGAAACCACCATGATATCCGATTCATACTGTAGTTTCTCCAACTGTACAATTAACTGAAGACTTACATGTCCTATGGAAGATAATGAATAACGCTTGTGTTAGAATCTGGACTCAGTATATGAAATGCTTGCCTGGATTTTGGAAGCACACTTCTTTCAGTGTGAAAGTATGCAGAGACTCAAGTAAAATAACCTGAAAACAATTCTGAACAGAATTTATATTGATAAATTATTAGGCAACTTATAAACAACTCATATTTGAGTTATTGTTATTGCACAATTCCTGTTCCGCTAATTCTAGAATATGCAGCACTTGAACAATGAAGTTGGAAGTGATAACTTTTCCTAACTTGCAAGTATTGGTTGGGGCTGATTGCTTTTAAAATTGCTT